TCCTGGTATTTTTTGCGCCCGAGACTAGAGAGACCTTTAGTCCCGGTTGGAGACATCAACCGGGACTAAAGTCCCCTATCAACGACTCATGCGCTCGGCACGATGGCGAGGGACCTTTTAGTCCCGGTTGGAGATACCAACCGGGACTAAAGGTGGACCTTTACTCTGGTTGGAGCCACCAACCGGGACTAAAATCCTCCAACCTTACTCCCGGTTGATAACACCAACCGAGACTAAAAAGGTGACCTTTTAGTCGGGTTGATGTTACTAACGGGACTAAAGGACCCTTTAGTCCCGGTTGGTAACATCAACCGGGACTAAAGGTCCCCGATGGGTTAGTTCAAAGGAAAGCATCCCATCTATTGTTAGATGTGTTGTGTAGGTGGGGTGGTAAGCTACGCATGTGGCAGTGCATGAGGTCTTGGGTTGAATCTCACGGGCGCAGCGGTGGGGCATTTTTTTAAAGTAGGAGGCTTTAGTTTTTTTAAAGACTAAAAACAACATGAGAATCTCGGATTAGTCTTTAGTCTGTTGTGGCAAACCGGGACTAAAGAACAACATTTTTAGTCTCGGATTGCTAGTCCCGGTTGGGAAAACCGGGAGTAGAGCTAGTTCCCAACCGGGACTAGATCTCATTTCTCCACTAGTGCATATAGCACAAGTGAAAAAGGAAGTCTTTTTAGGTATATTGGTAGAATATAAAACAAATCCCTCCTCCAAAAAGATTACATGAACCATAAAATGGACTAGTATGCAGTATGCTGGTCTTTTGTACACAATTACACGGATAATAAAGCGTCCTTATATTTTAGCAAGAAGGTATGTGCACCAAGCCTCATTGAACCATCGCAGCTGAGCCCTGCACAGTGGGCACGTGTTGTTGCACGTCATTAGCCACTTGGCAATGCAGTCCCTATGGAACTATGGAAGTGTGGTGGCGGTAGCAGCGAGGTGGCATGACGCAGCACCGGTCGCCGTCCTCAAACGGGCTCAGGCAAATCGCGCAGCCGTCGTCGTCATCGTGTGACGCCGAGTCAGAGGCGGACGAAGCAGCCGCGTATCGATACGTGATGAGGTCCAGCTGATCGATGGCGGTGGATACCGTCGGCATCGCCTCGTACATTGGTAGTGGCGGCCACGGCGCGTCCGTCGTCGTCTCCGGTGACTGGCCGGCGTCGTCCGCCTCCTTGTTGTTGTCTACGGCTAAATCGTTGGCCGACTTCGACAGTGTTACACACACTGCGTGCAGTGTTATCGTAGTGTGCCTTGCTACATGTCCACGTCGGAATAGAGTCCGCAACATGCAGCCACCTCGCCAATTTATTTAAACGGACACAGCCAACTCGCCCAAAGCAATCACATTCAGGCCCAAAACAAAGCAATCACGTACGGGCTATAAGTGTTAGTTAATTTATTTTTTGAAACTAAGTATTAGTTAATTCAAAAACAAAGCAATCACGTACAGGCCCAAAACAAAGCAATCGCGTTGTGCAGCTTGACAACTAAGACGTGAGGATTCTCTCGGTTAGTCAGTTTTAAATCGAGATCTTCAACACAGCTGGCCAAGCGCCGCCGCCGGGAGCTACGCCGCTAGCAGCTCCAGCAACCTCCTGAACGGCTGAACCCGCCAGGCGCGTTCCGCAGCCCCTGCGCTGACTTCGCGCGTGCGCGCAGCGGCGACACGCCGAACGCCAGCCGAACGGGGCCGTCCTCTCCGCTCTGCTCCTGCAACGTGATTTCATCATAACATCATGCTGACATCATATACATCCTTCTCCCTTGGAAAATAAAATAAAAAATACACTAGCCGTTCATCTCTGGATCAGCAGCCAAGATGAAAGGGGCGTTGTATGCGAAGCAGGGCGGCCCCCTGTAAATGTCCGTGTTCAGCCAGCTAATGCAGTAATGTTGCTACCACGATAATGGGAACTAAAAGCAGTATGGGTGCTTTTTTTTTTGGTTATTTAGATTGTGAAGTTTATTGTCTAAAATATTTTTTTTTTCTTCAAGATGTAAATTAAGGTGGATAGTTCCTAGATTGCATTCTTTTGGAGTCTCCATATTTATCTTCCTAATTTTCTGACGTAAACAAATGGTATGTCATTGTTGTGAACATTCAAAATATAAATTATCGTGATATTATTTCGTTCCCATGCAACGCACGGCCATGATTCTAGTCTAGTTTATATTTAAAAAAACATTGAACCAGAACAAGTTCGTGACTGATTATACCTTCTTCTCGGACTCTGTTCATCGTCGGAGTCGGAGCACGTAAGTACAATTTAATTGTCCTGCTCGACGATCTTAATGCATGATGACGACGAACGAACTGGCGGGTTTGCTCATCTGGCTCGGAGACGTGTTTTTCTGGTCAGTCGTCGTAATCGTCGCCTGCTGCTACATTCGACGACAGCGGCAGGACAACAACAACCGGCGTCAGGAGGCTGCAGTGGCGTCGGCACCCCACGCGCAGCCGGCGTCGGCGGTGCAAGCGGCCGCGGTGCAGATGGCGGCCATGGCAGTGGTCCTGCTGCACTACGTCACGTACCCTCTCCAGAACATCGTCGCCTCGTCTTCTTCTTCTTCTACGGCCGGTGGTGGCGGCGGCGGCGGGGGAGCGGCCATCTGGCTGAGGAGTGCGCGATCTACATGGGGGCAGTTCGAGGACGCCGACTGGTGCAGCGTCATGCCCGGCTGCCGCCACGAGTTCCACCGGAGCTGCATTGCCAAGTCGCTCATGGCGTGTAACAACACGTGCCCATTGTGTAGGCCTCAACTGTAATGGGCTATTGCTCATGACATGGTGCAGATAAAAGCGACTAGGATAGGATGCCCCCGTTGCATCAGCCATATTTCGTACGTATACACCTCTATAAATATACGATAATGCTCAACGTCCGTCCGTGACTCTGTGTCCGGACGTGTCTCCCCAGCAGTAGGCCCTAAACAAAACAATTCCCATTCGGACGGCCTCCTACCGCTCACACCCGCACGTGATCCTCCTCTCCATTCTTATCCTTTCCTTGCTCGCGCCCTGCCCCACCCCGACACGCGGCCATGGCTACCTTCCTAGCCGGCGGCGGAGCCTTCACCCACCCCGGCGTCCTCCTCCCCCACCCTGGCGGCGCCTCTCCCCCCAACCCGGCGTCCTCACCCACCAGGAGTTCCCAACGCCCGTGGATGCGGTGGCCCTCTCCCCCACCCCAGCGAGATCCATGGAGCACAAGCGAGAATCTATGGAGGTGGTGCGGCAGTGTTGCAGTGGAGTGGATGGCTCTCCCCCACCCTGGCGACCGAGCTCCCCCCACCCCGGCGGCCGGAATCGACTGGCCTAGCCTTTTCCTCCCCTATGTTGCATATGTATGTTTCAAGTGTTTCAGGCGTTCCAGATGAATGTTGCATTTGTTTCATATGGATGTTGCAAAAGTAGATAGGGGGATGTTGCATATGTTGCAATTGTTTCATTGGCATGTTGCAAGCGTATGTTTCGATGTTTCAGAGGTATGTTTCATCTGTGTTTTCCGGAGGCAGGTTGCAAGTGCGTTTATCTGGATATTGCATATGTTTCACACATACGTTGCATGTGTTTTATTTGGAAGTTGCGTATGGTTGTAATGATTTTCAAGTGTTTTTAGATGATGTTTTTCAAGTGTTTGAGAAGCATATTTTAAGTGTTTCAATTGTCTTTAGACGTACGTTGCAACTGTTGCATTTGGATGTTTCAAAAGTAGATCGGGTCTTGCATATCTCCTCCCCATCTTTTGCTGCATCGTCTCTTCCGCAGCGGTAGGGCATCCATATGACGCCGCGGCCGGGTCCTTCCGAATCGGATGCGTTGTGCGCCCTTTCCCTCTTGTCGCTCAGGCGGCGCGGGCCCTGCGTAGAGCGCGAAACGGAGTGCAACGCACGGGCGTCCGTCCGGACGTCTGGGCCTAGCACTACCGCTAATATATATCATCAAATTCAAAGGCTCTCTGAGGGTAGCATTGTAGCTCTTCGACAACTTCAACGGTAAAAATAATACAACTCTGATCCCTTCATTCTAATTATAAGATGTTCTGACTTTTCTTGATACGTAGGCTTTTGCTATGCACTTACATATGCATTATGTCAAGATATATAATAAAGGCAAAAGTATTTAAAAAACTAAAACATCTTATAAGTTGGAACGGACGGAGTACCTCATACCCGTTGCTAGGCATCAAAAAGTATTTTGCTCTACATATTACTTCGGCTCTGATGTATCTTCATGTGAATCTAAAAGAATGTAGCCTTCTATATACCCAAATCAAATTAATCATCAATCTGGTGGACAAGGCGGCCGCCAAACTGCCGGGTTGGAAAGGGCGGTTACTAACAAAAGCCGCTAGATTGCTAGCGCTGGTTCACCATAGCGCTAGTACTGGATCGGAGAAGGAAGCCGATCGCTCAGCGGCGGTGGGGGCGGCGATGGCGACGGCGTTGAGATAGCTAGGGTTGTTTGTGGACATGCATGGACACTTTGTAGGAGTCTCAAATCGTCTTGTATATATTTATTCCAAAATATAACGGAACAAGAGAACAGCTTCGTGACGGAGTATACCTTCTTCTCAGACAGTCAGACTCGTAGTCTTTGGGTGCGTGTTCATCGTGAGAGCACTAGTGTTTACTTGGCTACCAATGGGAAACCCGACGGCCGGGCGGCGGCCACCGGAGACGACGGACGTGCAGCCACCGCCGTTCGACGAGACGGTGGCGCGGTGCATGCAGATGCCGTCCATCGCCATCGTTCTTGCAGGAGTCCGAGTGTCTAACGACGACGACGTCTAATATATAGCAACTTAAATTCTATTTTTTGCGAATTATAGCAACTTAATTCTTGATGGATTATCCTTCTAGGACTCTCATAGCAATTGTCCTGTTGTATTGTACCACGATCGAGTACGTACATGCTATTGCTACTGCATGATATGCATCTTGTGTTGGCTCTCTGCGGGACGATCTAATAACTAACCAGCACGATGACGGATTTTCACCTGACGGCTTTGCTCCTCTGGCTCGGTGACGCTTTTCTGATCATCGCCATAGTCGCCGTCTGCTGCTGCTACTACGGTCGGCGACGCCGGGACTGGGAGGAGGTCAACGACGACCGGCGGCATCAAGAGGCAGCGGCAGCATCCCACGCGCAACCGGCGCCGACGGCGGCCGCGGTGCAGATGGCGGCCATGGCTGTGGCCCTGCTGGACCACGTCACGCACCCACGCCAGAACGTCGGCGATGCCGGCGGCGGCGGTGGCGGCGATGATCATCCGGCGGCGGCGGAGGAGTGCGCGATCTGCTTGGGCCAGTTCGAGGACGGCGACCGGTGCAGCGTCATGCCCGGCTGCCGCCACGAGTTCCACATGAGCTGCATTGCCAAGTGGCTCATGGCGTGTAACAACACCTGCCCGTTGTGTAGGGCTCAGCTGCAATGGGACGATGTTGCTCATGACATGGTGTAGATAGAATGACTAGGATGTCCCAAATGTTGTTGTCTCGAGCTTCAATTCCGTCGTAATAAGCTTGAGCTTCCTAGTTTATCAAGTTTTGTTGTCTCGTGCTTCTTATGAGACCTTATCAGGCAGATATATATTCGTTGACACGCAAAAATGTCCGGTATGGAAATTGACATGGAGAACTTGCGAGAAAATATTTGGTACAATGTAATTCGAGGCGCAAAGCAAAAGGAGGAACAAGACAACGCTGCCCTGCCCACGTCGGCCAGACCGGGGTTCCTGAAGCCGACCAGGCCGGCTTGCCTGTTGTCGTCTGGCCACAGCGCCCGGCCCCGTGAATCCCAGCCTCGTCAAAGTCGGTTAGGCCAACTTTTCTGCTGGAATATGAACCAATTTGTTTCCAAATCGGGTTTTGGAGTTGTTTCTTATTGGGATAAGACCACCCCTTCTATATATATATATGAGAGGATCAAGACCGATTGAGAACAATCCTACTTCAAATCGTAAAAAACACATCTGCTACCTCCTTTTACCCTCTCTTTTCCCATCTACTTCTTCTCCTTGTTCTTCATCGTTGCTGCATGGCTGGAGGATCGACGACGCCGACACCCTAGAGCGGTCAGGCCGGCTAGGGCAACCCATAGCCGCCGCATGCCTCGACGGGGTACCTCTTGAGCGTGTGGGGTTTTGGGTTTCAAGAGCCCTCGTCGGCGTGTCTTGCGTATCACTCTACGGGCGAAGCTCCTCCGGCGACGTGTCTTTCGTATAACGTGCTCATCACTAGAGGCACAAGGTCGATCCGGGTGCGGACAAACCCCTAGGCGCCAAGTTGACTAGGCCTTACATTGAGCGATCTAACTCTTTCCGGTGTGGTGATCCAACTTGGCGTCAACAACATTCTTTGCTCTAAAAACATACTACATGTGATATTTATTAATTTTTATTTTCAATAGTGGGAATTGAAACACAATCCATCAGTGTATATATTATGATTTCCAAAAAAAAACGAATTCAGATCGTTGCACGCACGCACTCATCAGCAGCGCCATGCATGCTCCGGAAGAAATAAACGAAACCAGAAACGCTAGCTACACCATGTCCTCAGCCGTGCTAACAGCAACAGCAGCAACCACCTTCTCCTCTCCCGCCGGCGGCACGACGACAATGGCGGTGGCCCTGCAGATAGGGCAAGTGGTCTTGCCCTGGCGGAGCCACTCGGCGATGCACCCTCTGTGGAACGCGTGGCCGCAGCCCGGCATGACGAAGCGCCCCTCGCCTCGGGCGTACTCCGCGATGCATATCACGCACGACGACGACGACGACGGCCCGCCTTCGCCGCCGGTGGAAGCTTCTTGATCAGGCAGCGGGAGGTACGGGACGTCGGGCACGCTGTCCAGGATCCGCTTGGCGCGCCAGCGCCAGAAGCAGGCCGCCAGCTCGGAGACGGCCAAGTAGAGCAGGCCGCCAGCGAGGTAGATGAGCACGATGATCAAGGTGTAGTAAAACACGGAAATGATCGTCGCCCAGTTCATGGCGGCCTGGCGACTGGTGTGTCGCCGCCGACGATCGACTGACGAACGGCGGTGGCTTGGCTTCTCGATCTCCGATCCCTCTTGCTTGCAGCGTTGATATGATCGTAGCTACGTACTGTACTAGGTAATTAACAAGGTAATTATCGTTAACTGTTTATAAATCTCAGGAGAGCTAGGATACATTAATTACCATGTCCGATTCGGATGTATATATATAAATTACTCGGAATCCAAATAATCCAGTACCGTACGATACCAGTTGCAAGGACGGAACTTGCAGTTGCAGATGCATCGCCGACGTACGGCTGTGCAATCGCCGGAGCACAATCGACCATTGTTGCGGCCCGGGGGAGGAGTGGGCCGATTCTGAGTACTTATTGGGCCATGATAAAGCAATTGCATGGCATCATGAAGAACTTGGCCCCAGGTTATTCTATAGGGGATTAATCACCTATAAATAAATCAACAGCACACTATAAAAAACGATTTCACAAGAGTTTAGAAAAAACGATTTCAGAAGATGCGTCATGTGATTTACAGAGGTGGGTATATTATATTAGCCTACCGCACCTTATAAATCATCTAGAGGCCAAATGTGCAAACTCCATTTGTGTGAGAGAATTTTCAATAGTAGCTTCTAAAAAATACTTGCCAAAGCATTGTTTATTCCAGAGTGGCCAAAATGAGGAGAGAGAGTTTTTATTTTCCTTTATTGGGGATATGACCCCGGTATCCATAAGACAAGACATGGACCGCATCATCAGAGGTGGCCCAACCCACAAGATCAAGACGTGCACGGCACTGGTCGACGTGCACCGCAAGATATTGTATAGTACCAAATATGATACTTTCCTTGTAACCATACCCCTCTAGAGTATATAAGGAGAGGCAGGGGGGCCCCTAGTCGACATCTACATACATATCAAACAAATACACCAAAGACACAGGGCATAGGGTATTACGTCGATCAGACGGCCCAAACCTATCTAAATCGTTGTATCTACGCCTTGTGTCACCATCCGGTTTCTGATTACGCGCACCCCCACCGATCAATCTACCTTCGTGGGATACCCCTCGGAGGACTGCCGAACATCTTTTGTCGACAGTTGGTGCCCACCGTGGGGCTCGTGCGCGCTGATCCCTGGCGAACCAGATGGCGTAACTCAAGATCAACATCCTTCGACAACCACGGCGCACGTCTTCGTACGCGGATTGACACCGCCAAGCTTCGACTACGTCCGTCCTACTCCAACACGAGATCAACTTCGTTCCGGCCGTCAAGCGAGCCGCTAAGCGAGCTGCCCGCGTCGTCGACCAGTTAACGCCATACGCCGCCGACCAGACGTTCTGTCTAAAGCTAAGTCACGCTTTAATATTATTCTAAATATTCTCCAATCTTTGTATATCGCCATAATGTTTCTCCGAGTTGTGTTCTACATGTTTGCTCTCCAAACGATTTTCTTTCATATATACCATCTTAAAGATGACATACAGTTAAGTCTAAGGCGAACCCCCGAACAGTCATGTTGATGCTCGGATGTCCCTAGAGACGGCCCTGCCTCCAGCTCCTCCCTACACGTGCACGAGTGTCTGCCCTCTGTGTTATGAGTGGTTGGCAGTGGCTCCTTAGTGACGCTTTGTTCTTCCTACACGCATACGGGCTCCGCGCTCCGCGTTATGGTTAACGGGCTAGCTAGGGCTGGAGACTCAGCTACACACTAACTGGTCGAACGGTTTATATTAAATATAAATACATCTTCATAATAACACTAAGTGTTTATCTACAACTGATCGCCGAGCTGCATACGCTATTTCATCACCATTGCTGATTATTCTCTAGAGTTCATATATTTTTTACATCATGTACTACCCGTTCTACATATTTGTATTGCAGGATCATCGTCCAAGTGACCGGACCACCTGGTGCTCGGACTTCTCCACCGATCAACTGGTCGGACTGCTAGTTGATAGGACTCCTCGGTGCTCGGACATCGCCAGCTATGATGGGGACTCCTCGGTGCTCGGAAATCGCCAGCTACGCCCGGGACTCCTCGGTGCTCGGACATCGCCAGCTACGCTGGGGACTCCTCGGTGCTCGGACATCGCCAGCTAAGTTGGGGACTCCTCGATGCTCGAAAATCGCCAGCTACGCCGGGGACTCCTCGGTGCTCGAAAATCGCTAGCTACGCCGGGGACTTCTCGGTGCTCGGACATCGCCAGCTAAGCTGGGGACTCCTCCGTGCTCAGAAATTGCCAGCTACGCCGGGGACTCCTCGGTGCTCGGACCTCGCCAGCTACGCCGGGGACTCCTCGGAGCTCGGACATTGCCAGCTACGTAGGGGACTCCTCGGTACTCGAACATCGCCAGCTACACCGGGGACTCCTCGGTGCTCGGGCCTCGCCAGCTACGCCGGGGACTCATCGGTGCTCGGATATCGCCAGCTATGTCAGGGACTCCTCGGTGCTCGGACATCGCCAGCTACGCTGGGGACTCCTCAGTGTATAGATTCTTCGTGCAAGCATCGTCAGCTAAGCTGAGGACTCCCTTGGTGGTCGGATCTGGCTACGTCTCATCTGTATGCTATCAAGCTGCTCCATGCATTTCGGATTATGGTGCTGATCTTGGGAAGCACGTCTGTGGTCTTGATACGTGCATGTCAGATGACGTCGGCAAGCTTTCAGACTTCTTTTCTTTGACCCTGCTACAAGATTCATTCTTCATCTTCGGGACTAAGTGGCTACACTTCACCTGGCGATGAATGTAGTGCTTATTTCTTGATTTACCCTCCTTATTGACGGAGTCTAAGTGGCTACACTTCTCTTAAGTGGAAGAATTTTCAGAATTTTCAAATTTTGAACTTAAGCTCCTTACATCCTTATGGCAAGCCTTACTTGGGATACACTGCTCAGCGATGGTTCACACTGCTCGGCGACGGTTCACAACTGCTTGGCAACTCATCACGGTGGTCGGACCATGAGTCTGACTGCTCGGCTTTGTTCGCACCTGCTCGGACAAGAAGATGGCGTTGCACAACGGATACAAGGCGCTCGGAGACTGGCTGTGGAGGATATGACCCCCGGTATCCATAAGACAAGACATGGGCCACACCATCAGAGGTGGCCCAGCCCACAAGATCAATGCGTTCACGGCACTGATTGACGTGCACCGCAAGATATTGCGTAGTACCAAATATGATACTTTTCTTGTAACTCTACCCCTCCAGAGTATATAAGGAGAGACAGAGGTCCCCTAGGCGACATCTACATACATATCATACAGTACACCAAAGACACAGGACGTAGGGTATTACGTCGATCAGACCGCCCGAACCTGTCTAAATCGCTGTCTCTGCGCCTTGTGTCACCATCCGGTTCCTGATTACGCGCACCCCCACCGATCAATCTACCTTCGTGGGATACCCCTCGAAGAACTGCCGAGCATCTTTTGTTGACATTTATCGTCCAACCATTGCTAATAATTGGTTCCTAAAAGCAAAAAAAAATACCTAGGGAGAAAAACCATATGTCATGGAGAATGAGCAAGGAGATTTGGATGTTTTGTGTGGGAGATTTAGATGTTTATAGAATTCAAAGGGAAATTGTTCGTTGGATGCTGGCTTTCCTTTTTTGTGATTTTTTTTTCAGAGTTGCATTGCAAAGTGGCTGACGGCGTGCAACAACACGTGCCCGCTCTGTAGGGCTCAGCTGCAATGGGATGTTGTTGCTCATGACATGGTGTAGGTAGAATATCACTAGCTAGCAGGATGCCCCAAATGTTGTCTCGTGCTTCAATTCTGTCGTAATAAGCTTGAGCTTCCTTTTTTTAGTTTGTAGTTGTTGTCTCGTGCTTCTTATCAGGCATACTACTATGTTCCTTTTGCTCGAAAAACTATATTGTACATGTTATACATGTTATTTATGGACAGTACTAGTAGGCGCACGCGCACGCGGACTTTGCCTGCATGCTATCACTTCTCTCTATTCTTCTTCTTCCTCGCGATGGCCCCTCACCCGCCCCCACCTCCTCATGTGACTTTCCTCCTCGCGCGTTTGTCTCCAGATCCGGCGTTCGTCTTCCTCCTTGCCCATGCTGCCGTCCACCACCCCGTCGCACACGCTAGGGTTTCACCGAAGCTCTGTGGCCAGGGCCACGGAGCTCCGGCGAAACCCTAGCACGCCGTGGCGGCCTCCTTCTCCCCCTCCTCACTCTTGCCACCGCCGCCCAACCTGGCTCGGCCGCCACCAGAGCCTTAACACCGCCCTCTCATCGTCCCCCACCGCTGGCCGGCCTGCCTCCCATGAGCCCCTTCTCTTCTAATCCACTGGAGTTAGTGAAGAAGAGAGGAAGAGTCGTCGCCGTCGGAGTGTTGATGAAGAAGCGGGCACGGGCAGTAGTAGCGCATCGGACGACAAAGAGGGTGTGCGCGCCGAGCGATGCGATCGTGCACTTGTAAATTAGATTTCCGTTTATTTATTTATTGTCCACAGGGAGAATTAAAACATATAGTACTCCTCAATATATTTCCAAAAAATAAAGTCAGTTGTCACGTCACAGAACAATAAATAAACAGGACGACACAAAAAAATTCGGTAAGGACCATCCCTACCACGACACCGTGTGAATGTATGGCTGACGCGTGGCCCGTGGGGCAACTAATTCACCATGTGGACGTTTTGAAATGATACTGTGGCCCACATTTCAGTGCACAGTCCTCACCACGGTCGAGTTAGGGATGTCCTCATCGAATTTTTTCCATGACGAAGGCACACGTCAGCAGCACCATGCATGCTCCGGAAGAAATAAACAAAACCAGAAACGCTAGCTACACCATGTCCGTGCAATTTTTGCATTTTGGTCCCTTTTGAAAACATTTTTTACAAAAAGACCTATGCCAAAACGTTTACTGAAAATAGACCATTTTTAGGCGTCTTAGAACATGACGCCAAGGTATGAGGGTCGGCGTCGACTGACACAACGCCGAGGTCTTGCCACGTCACGGACGACCCCGGTTGACGGCGACATGGTGGCGCATGGGGCCCACTACGTCGGCGTCGTGTCAGCCAACGCCATAGGCCTAAATTCGGCGCTGTGGGGAGTCACGCTAAGCTCTTGGCACCATCCGGCGCGCGGCCGAGGCGGTCCAACAACGCTTCGTGGGCCAAGAGGTCGGCGTGCGATCAGATGACGCCGAGACGCTAACCTCGGCGTGGCCCGACTCAATGCCGAGGTTCGGTCAGAACCCCACCCCACGCATCATGATTCATGAGATCAGAGAAGCATGCATGTAGCTCGATCGGTTTCATTCCACTAGTGATGGAGACATGGCATGTTCGTCTGCGGGTGCCGGGAGACCATTCAGAGCGGCAGAGACGATGCTACCGGAGGTAGTGCATGCCCGCTGCCTAGCCTCCTGTTGCGGGATTGCGGCAAGCCGAGGTAACGTCTCGGTGCCATAGAATTTTTACCATGACTTGGACATTGTCAAATTTGATTTTTACCGTGGGACAGACATATGCAAAAATGGCTAAGTCTGAATTTTTGCTATGACTTAGAGACTAGAATTTTACCATGACTTGGACATTGACAAATTTAAAATTTTACCATGACTTGGATATTGAGAAATGTGGCTAACTCTAGAGTTTTACATTGACTTGATATTTGAGCACTTAAAACAACATAGAAATACTTAGGATAAAAAATGATCTAGGGTTCATGTTGATGAACGAGCCTAAAAATATTTCTAAGTGTTGGATCAATAGTTAACACCCTTTTTCATGATGCAGTTTTGACCACGGTAAAACTATAGTTTCTTTTCTAGATATAAAGTTTGACCTTTAATAGAAGTTGTAGTTTGAGTTGAGTACAACAAACTTTGTTTTTGACCTAAACCTAAATCAGTTTTTAACATGGTCAAATAGTGACCACAAGTTTGAATACAGTGCTATTTTGTAGCAGTGAATTGACATGTTTGCGATATTTTATCTTTCAAATTTGTATAGCAACTCAATTTAATACCTTACTACGAGTTTGAGTACTCTCTGAGGATATGACAACAAAACAAGTCTCGTCAAGTTTGGACTTAGCCACGGTAAAAAATCAGACCAACTCGTGGTAAATATACATATGTCCATCTCATGGTAAAATCACAGATTTAGACAGATTGTAACATATCCAAGTCACAATAAAATTCAATATGGCATTGCCATGGTAAAAATTCAAATTACATATCCATCTCATAGTAAAAATGCAACCAAATTTGGCATTATCATCTCATGGTAAAATTTTAGAGTGTCCAAGTCATGATAGTTTGTAGTTAGGATTGAAAAAAATCAGCTCGTACTACTACGGAATCTATCTCTACGGTGCACTTATAGGAGAAAGAAGGGGAATAAGTCTCGGACAGGAATGTTGGGCGCGGGGTTAAAGCAGCCAGCTTGGCGCCGTTGTTAGTGGCGCCAAGCTTGGCGCCACCAACGATGGCGCCGAGTTAAAGGTCAAGATTTTGAAATCATATCTCCAGGGGCATTTTTGTGAGAAACTTTCAAAAAAAGAACTAAAAAATAAAAAAATCGGTCGTCTCGGCATGGGCGGGCGCAAGGCTGACGCCGGCGCCAGAGCTGCACAGCGAGGGAGCAGGGTTTCGCCGGAGGTCTGGGCATTCCACGCCGAGTTCCTGGCAGGTGGCTTGCTCTTTATTTGGAGCAGACAAAAACCAGTGGGGCTAGGGGCAGCGTGTGGACAGCATTAGCCTGAGGTTTGGACAGGGCAGACGGCAGAGGCGTGTTGGTCAGGTACCCGGGATGGCATGGGTCATGAACAGTGGCCAGAACAGCTTCTCTCCGTGTGAACCCTGCTGCCCTGGAGTAAAAGCCAGAGCCTTTTGTCTGTAGGACATCCACAAAGTGTGGTTTTGTGCAAAGAAGTGTGGTTTTGTGCAGCGCACATTGCTTTCGTCGTTTTGGTTTGGCGAACACCGAAGCCATGGTTTTTGTCCAAGACACACTTCACATGGTAGAAAAATATCTCGTAGTTTAGGAAGGGAGGGGGAAGAGTAAAATGTAAATGGATGCCCTTTGCTGCAATCTGCGGCTGTGAGAGCCCTTTGCAGCTTATAGTACTTGCAAGTGGCACAATATGATCATGGAAACACAATATTGATTGATACCTGAACTTGCTGCCTTGTACGGAAACACTCTTATGGTTGACTTTTTTGATCAGGCCATACGACTAGACATTTTGTTGTTTTAGAAAAATACCATGATTTTATAGAATACTTTGGTTTTGAAAACATAATGTTGTTTGGATGTAAAGAACTTTGTAGTTTTGACGGTAATAACTTTCCTATTTATTAAAGTTTACAGGATCAAGTATTCATTTTCAGTTACCTTATTTTAAAGTTTAATTTTTAAATTTTTCAAATGACCACAGATGTTGATCTCTATCAAGTTGTAGTTTTAAGTTAGAACTACAACTTCGTAGTTCATAACTTTTTTTAATCTGAGATTGTTAGAGCCTTAAGTATTCGTTTTAAGTTCTATAATTTCAAATTTAATTTTTTGATTTTTTCAGACAATGTTTAATGTTAATGTAGTCTACATCTAAAGTTGTAGCTCTCAAATGTTCTACAACTTTGTATTTGATAATACTTTTATCTGATCGTTTTAAATTCTTATATTTAAAATTTAAATTCTTTGAATTTTAAAATACAAAAAAGTTTGTGATACAAAAATAGTTATTAGATTTGTATTTACAAATATACCCTGATAATTAAATTTTTGTCAGAAATGTTACACTATAATAAAAGGAATTACGGTCAAAGTTTGATTTTAGAGGTCGCGTCAAGTCGAATTATATGCTTTATATTTGAGTATAAGAAGGCAGTATATCCATATACAAAGAAAAGTTGCGGCAAGAAAAATTACGGCGATTCTAGAGCACTGCTGGCCGCCGATTAGAAAAGGCGGAAAGGCCGAAGCTGCCACCCACATGTCATGACACCACGACACAGCAACAGCACAGGGTTCGCTTTAGCATGCCGAGCACGTAAGAGCCTTACGAGCACGTGTCCGGGAGCCGAGGAGATGCAACGAGAGGTCCAACTTGCCGGACTCCGAGGGCCCCACATGGCAGTCACCAGCCTCTCTTCGCCACCAGCCACCAGCCACGAGCACAGAATACACCAGCGTCGTCTCAGATCAGATTTTGCTTCCCTAGCTGTCCAATGCCGAAAGTGTCAGAAACAATAATGCCGTACTCCTAGATCAGGATGTGAAACAGCATGGCTCGGCTTTTCACCATGCTGAGAGTGGCTGCTTGCTTTTACTCCAGGGCAGCCGGGTTCACACCATCTGTTCGCGCTGATAAAAATGCAGCCAACCATGCCATCCCGGGTACCCAAGACCAATACGCCTCTGCCCTGTCCAAACGACCAAACCCCAGGTACCAATGCTGTCCACACGCTGCCACTGGCCCCACTGGTTTTGTCTGCTCCAAATAAAGAGAAGCCACCTGCCACGAATCTCGGCGTCGAGCAGTGCCACGCTGAGGTCTGCGGCTCGGCGTGAAGTAACACAGCGCCGAGGTACGCGGGGCCCAACGCCTTCGTGGCAACTGCGACCGGAGTCCGCGCTGACGTGGCAAAAGTTCGGCGTTGTCTGACACAGCGCCGAGCCTCATATCTTGGCGTCGTGTCCTAATACGCTGAAAAGTGGTCTATTGTCAGAAAACGTTTCGACAAGAAGCTATTTATAAAAAATGTTTTTAAAAGAGACCAAAATGCAAAAATTTCACCACCATGTCCTCAGCCGTGCTAACAGCAGCAGCAACGACCTTCTCTTCTCCCGCCGGCGGCACGACGACAATGGCGGTGGCCCTGCACATAGGGCAAGTGGTCTTGCCCTGGCGGAGCCACTCGGCGATGCACCCTCTGTGGAACGCGTCGCCGCAGCCCGGCATGACGAACCGCCCCTCGCCGCTCCCGTACTCCGCGATGCATATCACGCACGACGAAGCTGCTTGTTGGTCAGGCAGCGGGAGGTACGGGACGTCCGGCACGCTGTCCAGGATCCACTCGGCGGCGGTGGCGCTACGCCAGAGCCGGAAGCAGGCCGCCAGCTCGGAGACAGCGATGTAGAGCAGGCAGCCGTAGATGAGCGTCATGAGCCGATGGTGAAAGTGAAGTAAAACAAGGACATCGCCGTCGCCCAGTGCATAGCGGCGCCACAGGTCGGGTCCTCGCCCACGATCGACTGACGAACGGCGGTGGCCTCTCGATCTCCGATCCCTCTTGCCTGGGTTGGGATGTGCAGCGTTGATATGATCGTTAGCGTCTTAGCGACGTAGCTACGTTCTGTACTACTAGTAGGTAAGGTAATTACCGTTAACTGTTTATAAATCTCAGGAGAGCAGCATACATAATGTTGGAGAGAGAACGAAGTCGATACATTAATTACCATGTCCGATTCGGATGTATATATATAAATTACTCGGAATCCAAATAATCCAACAAACTGTACGAGTACGATACCAGTTGCAAAGACGGAACTTGCAGATGCATCGCCGACGTACGACTGTGCCATCGCCGGAGTACACAATCGACAATCGTTGCGGCCCGGGGGAGGAGTGGGCCGATTCTGACTACTTACCGGGCCATGATATAACGATTGGCATCGTGATGAACTTGGCCCAGGTTATTCTAGGGGATTAATCACCTCTAAATAAATCAACAGCACACTATAAAAAACGATTTCAGAAGATACGTGATGTGATTTGCAGAGGTGGGTATATTAAGCTACCGCACCTATAAATCACCTAGAGGCCGAACGTGCAAACTCCATTTGTGTGAGAGAATTTTCAATAGCTTCTCTACAAAAATATACTTGCCAAATCATTGTTTATTCCGAGTGGCCAAAATGAGTAGACAAAGTTTTTTTTTTTGCCTTTCTCCAACCATTGCTAATAATGGGTTCCTCAAAATTAAACTAGGGAGGATAACCTCATGCCGTGGAGAGAAAAAAACAAGGAGAATTTGGATGTTAGGGAGCGTAGAATGACGTGGATATATGTAGAGTTGCATGAGAGATTTAGATGTTATTTATAGAATTCAAATGGGAACTGTTGGATGCAGGTTCTTTCCTTTTTTTTGAAAAAAACTTTTTTTAAAAGTTGAATTAAAAATCTTTTGGAGATGCTCTAAATTGATTTATAGAGTCGGTGCTCTTAATAAACCCACGTCTGCTAATAAAAGGCCCGATGCCCACTAAAATACCTTAGAAATAAAAGAGCCCTCCCCCAGCCGCTGACCCCCCTGCCTTCCCACTCAACTCTCTCTCTCCCTCTCTGTGTGTGCGCGCGTGTGTGTGTGTCTCTCTCTCTCCAATGTCTCCTCTGCCGCCTCAAGCTTCAACCCACTCAGTAACAATGATCACGTGGGGGTGCCCTTTTGACCAGGGTGGGTGTGGATCTGATACAGGGAGGTGTCTCCTCTTGAACCTTGGCCTCCGACCTGCATGGGACAAGCGGGGCACAAAAGGATCTCTCTCAGTGTTGGACTTGGTGAGTTGTCGGATTTCTTAGTCCTCTTCTCTCTCCCTCGCCCTCATAGGGTGGAAGGGCCTAGCCGCCGTCTCACCGTCTTCCTGGGCTGCGGTACCAACAATGAAATGACTTTGTGGTGGAAGGATGGCGTGGCGCTGAGGGACCACATCTGGGGTAGCGATTGGAAGAGGACAATGGTAGAGTCGAAGTGGCTTTAGGGTGCCGATGAGACGGCGGTGGATGAGGGTTGGGTGTGTGTGGCATCCGAAGATGGTGAGAATGTGGTCGTGGTCTACATGGATCCGAAGTTGACACGCTGTCAACGTGGAGCTCTATCGTGTCTACCTTCGTGTGCCAACATGCATAACGCATAATGTGAACATGTTTGATCTCTTAAATCCCAATGTGGACCTCATTTTCATCCACGACTACTATCTCTAGGTGATCCCTACCATCTTTTGCCACATGTCATCATCGACGGTGTGGGTAGCAACGAGCTCAACAGCATGGCTCCATATGTTTGTTTTGATTTTTTTTTTCCATTGATTTGTAGAGGTAGGCGTCTCAAGTCACCCACCTCTAGAAGTAGTGTTTTCAAAGGCAGAAGTTGACACCTCTTGTGGAATTCTTGATCAGTATAGACACCCTTGATAGAGGTGAGGTGCACAACCTCCTCTAGAAATTTGTTTTCTCTGTCTCAGCAAATTGGTTTTCTAGTAGTGGCATTCTCGTGCTAGGTAGCTCATGGATCAGGACAGGTCGCGTGTGTGTTTTATATTATCTCCACTTCATGGATCAGGCTGTTGGTAGTGTTCACTAAATAACGAATTAATGATGACCACGACTGTATATATGTTCTTAATAAAGAGTAACCGCAGCGCCGCCCTCCCAAAAAAACAAGAAAAAAAGAACACGTTTTGATCGAATTTGATGGATATGCAATGTTGAGCGAAGCTGAGTCACAATGCTACACATGCATATATTTGTATATATATATATATATGGGTCGATGACAACGGTTCCGTAGAAGCTGCATCGATTTATATTACATATACATATGTATCTCCTAGCAAGCAATATACATGCAGGGTTGACCCTTAATTTTTACTAGTACTGTTCTATCTACGTACTATCCTACAAGGAAGTTTTATTAAAAAAAAAACTAGCCTACAAGGAAAACAAATTAAAAAGAAAAATTATGTAGTCGCAACTCGCAAGGCAAAGGCAATGCAACGTGATCATCAATTAACACGTGGAGTACTTATTACGTTTGATGGTTATTATTTGTCTGCTTATTCGCCATTTGTGTGCTAGCTAAACCAAACTATTAAAACACGATGGCTCTAGGATGATCCACTATATATACCACACACCCAGTACAACCACTGTCGTTTGACGCTACTTTTGGTGTGTGGTATAGTGTTAATTAGAACATGCTTAATTAATTACCGCACTAATTAAAATCTAAGAATAAAGCTAACCAAACGATGGACTAATTTTGTAGTCCAATCCAAAACTAGCTGTTAATTAGTCCCTCTCAATAGTCCATGCATCTATCTATATAAATAGAAGAATACTTTACTCACCCGGACTAATAATAACTAGTTTAGGTGATCCAAACATGCTTTTAATCTGCATAAAGTAGTAACTCTTCACTCTGGATAAACTAGTAACTCTGCCATGTAGACGTACGTAGGTTGTCTCGTAGCTAACTCATCAAACAATGCAAGATTCCCTATCTATTCTAGCAGTAGCACTGCTGGTGCCATGTCGTTATCCTCTGGGTTCCTTCCTTCCTCCTGCTCCAAACGACAATCAGACTGAGCTAGTTGTCAATTCTTCTCTGTTGCTGCAGCAGCTGGGGTAGGAGTATCTCCGATTGGCTGCCGGTTCTATGGCGATGAGCATCCGAGTCATCGGTGATGAACAGGATGCCATCCTCCAAAAAAAGAAATGGAATCATTGCCCACACCGGAATAATATCTGGTTGCAGACGTGTCCCATCGAGAAGGATTATATATAATTGCTGGTGAGGTCAGGTAGGTCCTGTGCATGTGCAAGCATATTCGGGCGGCGAGCGACGTTGCCGGGCCGCCGCGCCACCACCGTATCATCCCTGAATCCATCCAAGATAAATAATTGTTCAGTCTACAAAAACCAGATGCATCCCTCGTGTCTCCTATTATTCCAAATAGGACCTCAATTTAATTAATACATGTAGATATCTTGCCTTGAAATGCGTACGTATATACTCTGCATAAGTCAGGATGTAGAAATTATTAGATGGAGCAATATAGGAAACATGTACCACACGAAACTGGTGAATTGAGAGATTGGATAATACAAAACGTACAGAAAAGAGCAACACCAGTACATTGGCTTCTCTAGCTTAATCAGTAGCAATATTCATAACAAACCAAAAACCTTTTTGAGAAAATAAATTCCACTAGTATGTAGTCGACATCTCTCCCATTTATTATTCAAGACAAACATGTGTGTGTGTGTATATATATATATATTCCCATCACATGGCTATTATAAGCATGTCTCAGTTTTACCAAGTGGTTGCTCTTAACAAGCGCCTAATTGCAATCTTTTGAAATGCACCCGTGTGGTCATATGAGATTATTCATTCTTCAGATATTGGTTTCTGCTTGGTGATTAAGATCTTACTAATATCCTGGGAGACTTGGAATGAGTGAAATGCACATGTTTTCAACCACAAGGAAATGCCAAACAATAGGCTTATGACAAAAATCAAGGTGGCGGGGACCTCAGATTTTGATATGAACAGAACACCTGACGGCTCTGAACTTGCGGCAGTAAGAACTTTTTTTGTCCTCCGGCTCGAACCAAAGAGTTTTTGTTTTGTTTTTATTTTTGAGCTCCCATTTTGGATTTTGTAACTTTGCACGACACTCATGGAAGTCTTCTCCTAACATTTTTAATGTAACATGCAACTCTCCTACCAATTTGTTTTAGAGAAAATAAGGACCACAAGTTGCTTTCATGATTGATCTTTGCAAAGTGCAAGACATCCGATATATGAATCAAGCCACACCTATGGGCCACATCAGGTATTATATTGTTGGGTGAAGGAAACATATACCACATGCATCCTAGAATGAATTGAGCCATCATTTTGGAAAAGATTCATTGTGCTGCTAAATTAAGTTAATAAAACATAATTGAACCATAAGTGATACAAACATGCAGCATCGAAAGCAGAAGGCACACCTGGTCGTACCCATTGTAGGAGGTGAGTAGCGCTCTCATTGCTCTAGGAAGCAAAAAAAATTGGGTGCATATTTCTTCTTGATACATAAAGTCATAGTTCCTTCAATGTTGCTCTAGTTTTTTTTTTGTGTAACTATTTTGAAGCTAATAAAGGTTTCCTGTTGAAATGTTGTAACTCATCTAGCTGGTTTCAATGGTGATTTCCATTTTCTACAGATATAAAAAATAGTTTAGTCTAAATGTTCAAAGTAATTCATTTTATATAAAACTAACACAAAAATTAAAAATATAGTACTTCTTTTTGTTGTCGATTTGGACTAATTTGGATCTTATGTGTTCTTGTTTCCATTGCTCCATTGCTCATCACTTGCTATTTTTTTTGAATT